TCTCGTGCATTTTCTCATATAAATGGATTAATCTCGCGATTTACTTCCAGCCCGGTCCACATAATCGCTCACAAATCTGATTGAATTCAAAGAATCATCCGAATTCAAAATGCGTTGCTTTTCGCGCAGATGAACCTGGATTTACGGGAATAAAAAATTATCCAACAATTCTATTTTCTCCCACAGGAAATAACAACGTTGACGGGTTTCTCTCTCTCTCTCTATTTTTTTTTCATGTACAGTACAAAAACTTTATAAGCCAGAGGAGCATGTTTCAAGCAGACTAAGGTGGTCAACCTCATCGCATTCCAGTTGTCAAGGGTCTACAAAAGCCAGGGGCCCCTCGGGGCCAGAAAGCAAGCAAGTATCGAGTCAACCTTGCTGCCCGCGGGCGACATCATCAGCACCTTTTGTGTCGCAGGTCGTCGGCAATCTCTCCGCAATAAATTACACAAAGCCGCCTGAAAATTATTATTCTTTTTTAGTTCTTCTTTTTATGTTGTAAAGTATCTTCCCGCGAAACACAAAGGTTGAACCACAAGCAACCGAAGAGATTTATGCGTTTTTTTAAGCATGGAAATTCCTAAGAGACTTCGGGGCAAGATTATGTTCTCAAGTAATCGTAAATTTCTATGAAGTTCATTTTTATTTTTGCATCACCGAAATTCGAGTGAGTGTGAACATGTAAGAATTTCGATTTTTCGTTTTTTTTTCCTGGCTCGAATCACGTATTTCTCAAATTTCAAAGCTCTCTTTTACCACAAATTTATTCGCCTCTCGATCAGAAAATGATGGAAAAAAATCATCCGTAATGCGTATACAGTATCAAGCTGTGTTCATTCAAAAACGGATGCATGAGGCCGACAGAACTTATGAATGCGTTTTCAAAAATTGCAAAAACCAAAATTTAAACATGTTTTGAATTAATGCACTATAAAATCATTATTGAAACATCATCAATCACAGGCCACGAACCGCTATATATTGAATAGCACATTTCCAAAAATTAAAATCTAGGACACAACAAAAGCCTGAAAACTTTTACCGAATAATTTTCCAACGCAATTCCAAAATTGCCGGCACGCCTGGTATAAACAAAAGAGGTAACAAAGGCCTCGCAAACATGACTGATTAAGAAAATGGCTTCCGTTGTTGATGCCCCCCCCCCCCCTTTGGCAATGGATGATTATGTGTCGCAATCATCAACACCCTCTTCGTCACCGACCGAGCAGGTTAATTACCCGCCCTTGCGTCCCACGGATTCCGAAACAAATTACTTCCATACGCGCAAATAGCCTACATTAATCTGGCGCCCAACAAAAAGCCGCGCGACGTTCGACCCCCTCGGGGCAGGGAAAAGAAAAAAAAGTAGAGCAAAAACAAGTGCACAAATCTCCGGCCTGGCCTCGGGCGATTTTTGACCCACTAGTACCCGGGATGAAATGAATAAAAGAATTCTCCAAATGAAGGAGAGTGGTTCGATACGCGGTCGATTAGATGGCGGCCCTTTCGTAAAACATAAAAAGGAGGAAAACTTTAAAAAAATATCACTTCAAGAAGGAACCTTTTTCAATAAAATTAAATGCCTCACAAATTTCCTTCTTCACATGATTCGGTTTTTTAAATTCAATAAACCAAGCTGTCCGAGATACAGGCGGATTTTTAATACAGTACAGCATTTCGAAAGGCAGAGAAATATAATTAATACCCGAGAAAACTTTAGAAAATATTATACTTCACTCCGTTTGACAAGTTCGAACAAAAGACGTCTTATAGGGGCATTAAGTGATTTTAGACCTACTCAACTGCAAGTAAACAACATTACTAAAAGTACAAGCGTCACCAATTGAAAGTCAATCAAGTTGAAAAATTGTAGGAACAACGTTCAGATAAAAAAAATCCACGTTTCCGAAGATGAATGACATTCCCCGTTATTGAATAGTATCTATATTGATAAATGACAATGCGGACTTTGATACTTGGTGCTACTTTGAAATTTGCTCTAAAATGCATTTTTTCGCACAACACCACAACATCCTTCCATCAATGTCGCCTTTCAGCTCCTAAAAAACAAGAATTATTCGAATCATTTTTGGTCAACAGATGATTTAAAGTTATGAACGCAGTTGCAGCAAATAATGCGATACACTTTCTTTCAATCGTGTGTTAGAAACTGAGCCAAAGTTTTTCCAACGTACTGGATTCACCAATGAGCCTGATTTAAAATACTGACCCCTTCTTCCACCTCAAAATTCCTCCTCGAAACTGGAGACTTAATCAACAGCTTTTAAACTCCCTATTGGATGTGGAATTTTTTCGTGTACTTTCCCTGGGATTTTTGGAATTGTCGCTGAGCAAGACACGCCACGAATGCCTTCAGACAGCGGTTCTCGCATTCTGCATCAAGATAGCAGACTAGATTCACACAGCACAATTTGTCCTTACTTTTTTCATGAAGATAAATGATAATTTTTTTTTTGCATAGTATAGGCATGAAGGCAGTTCTTGGGTGAAAATTTCCACCAAGAAGTCTTCGTCAGCCGCACAACACATAAACACAGGATGCGCCCTCAGGGCACAAACAGAGATACAATATACCGCAAAGATTACACCGAAACAGGGCGTTTCGATTTAATGCGGCCCGGGGGCACGACCGCGAGTAGCCGCAGAAAAGAACACACACACAAAGCATAACTATTCACGCTTCTTACAACAACTTATAGCCCCACTCGAAAAAAAAGAAACCCCTCGTGCCTATTTCTGTCATTCTTCACTACCGGAGAAAAAAAATACCCGGTGTCGGAATGCGACTCGTTACACCCCTCGGGCCAATGAACATATCCAGACCAAGTTCAGGATAACACTGATCAATTGTGTGCTGCTGTAGAAAGACATCTAGCAACGGATTGTCGCCGAAAAAAATAAAGCTTTATACGATCTAATCCGAGAATATACAGCATTTACAGACCGAAATCACGAGTAAGTTTTGAATCGGCGGCTTTTTCTTTGATTTGGCTGTCAAGGGTCAAATTCCCATTGATTGAACTCTCACTCATTCATTTTTGAAGAATGCTCTAAAATAATCCAATAGAGAAATCAGTCATCCTTTTCTGTGCTCACAAAACCCGATTCGCTATAACGCTGATAATTTTTCTGCTAAATTTACAGTGAAATATCCTCATAATGAGTTAATTTATTTTTGTTTTTGAATTAATTAATTTTAAGGAGCTTCAGCGTTGCCACGATGATATTCGACACTCATTACAACGAATTTTAATATTTATCATGGGGTTTTCTAAGCTTCAGTGCGTCTTTAAACGAGATTTTTGGCTGTAAAATACGACCGTGCGGACAGAAATAATTTCTTCTTTCAAAATGTCAATATCGTGGAAGAATGTCCCACTCGGTAGAATTTTCGTTCCACTTGACTCTTCCTGGAGGCGGTTACTCGGGTATCGTTACAGCGGCATTCAACTGGAAGATAAATAGGAACAAGAAGCCGCGAGAAGTTGATTTGCCCCGCAGTGAAGAGGAAGGCCAAAAATGCGCATAAGAGTAACCCAACCCGAAAAGACATTTCTCTCACGTCTTCCTTCCCCCAAAGCTTCTATTCCCATACACGGATGAGCGGGGAACGAACACGAAGTCTTGCAACACAGCACCAGCAGGTGTTTAGAGGAAGAAAAAAAAAAAAGCCAGCTCAAGCCTGATTTAAAAAAAAAAATTCTCAAGAAACGGAATTAAAAAGTCTCTTAACAATAAATGTAGAAGATGCGAAACGCGAGGAATATTGGATAAAAAAAATTGACGCATCAGAGAATCTTTTTCCATTTCTCGCACACAAAAAAATAAACGACTGTTCTTTGACAGAAAGTAATTTCAAAACCGCGTGGAAATTCAATTTTCCGAAATTTCTACCCTTGCTTTTTTTTTCAGTTCGGGTGACTCAATCCTGGAGGTTTTCCCTTCAAAATAAAAATTTCGAATTCGTTTTCTACAAGAAAAAAAAAAGTGAAGGGTGGACAGAATGTTTGCAACCAGCTTGCTTCGACGCCAGACATCCGCCAGATCAGCTTTCATCCATCCCATGCGTCACAGCTTAAACCCGACCCCTTCTACTGTTTTCTTCCATGTTTCGCAAACACCCCAAGAAATACGTATTCCCAGGAAAGGGAAGGACTGTGAGGAACAACTTGAACCCCGAAACCCGATCCGCAGGGACAACAACCAGACGCGGTTTATTGCTGAGCCGACTGGAGTGGACCAACGACTAGACGAACTTCCGTCTCTTGAAATGCAATACTATACTGGACCATATTTTGCACAGTGCTGGTTCAAGTTACACAGTTTGACCAAATCGTGGAAACTCTATGGTGAAATTTCAGAGGGACTAGTAATATGTACACTACAACCCATTTCGGATTCATCCGCCATCGACTTCCGTCGGAAAAAAGAGAAATTGAAAAGAGAAAATTTATTTTCATCGGCATTTAGACTTTAGTCCTTCTTTCTTTGATTAACGAGATGAGGAAAAAGATTAATTTATCGTACAAGGAATTTCAAAAATGCACTGTTCTATTTTTTATTGGTTTGGTGAAACTCAACTTCACGTCAAAAACTGAATAACACCAGAGAAAACGCTGGCACGTGCTTTCTTAAAAATTTGAGTTACAGACATTTGCGTAAGGTGTGTCCTAGACTCGCGCGCCTTGAAAACATTCGCATTAACTGCTTGCCATGCGAATTTTTTCTCTTGAAAGTTATGTTTTCAACTTTTTATTTCATTTCCGACGACTTACTTATCAGAATGACGAAGAGCAGAAAAAGTGGGTTTCAACAGAAAATATATTTCCTACCCCCGTTTTCCAGACAATCATAAACGAGAACACAAAATTTAAAAAATTTTCTGGTTTAAAAAAATTACTGTATAAATCTTACTGGGCTATAAATGCTGTATTTTTCATCATAATTTCCTCTAAACGCATTCTTTTCGTTGATAGAGCTTCAAACATTCCACCAAACCACGCACCTATTATTACCCACCACATTTATTCCATCAAACTCTCCAGGTTTCTGTGGCTTTCGGCCACAGAAACCAAACACCCGCATTCTTCACATATCCGGCCATCAGTAAAAAT